GAAGATGAAGAATTTCACAGTATATAGCTCCATACCCCACAATCACCCACATATTTCCTACTCTACGACAAGTACCTTATTGTTTGACACAGAGAGTAAGTAGTAGACTCATGGTCCCCTGCTCTCCTCCTCCATATGGTGTGGTTAGACATTATAATTCACATTTGAAACTCTACAAAGTGTTCAGAGTTAGCACATGCTGTGAACAGTCGCATGTTAAGAGTTAATGCCCACTCTGATGTGAAATGTTCTGAGTTGCTGCTAGAGGCCTGGCAAGCAGAGGTGTGGCTAGGAGATGCCAAGCTTCCCCTCTCTCCAGGTATCCAGCAGCTCCCAGCCATCTTCTCCCTCTGGTCTTCATGGCTCACCCTCCACCCTAGGGGGTTACCCCCCCCAAACCCATGGCTCAACCCAGGTGCCAAGGATCATTCCCAGCTCCAGGCTCCCTGCAGTTCCTGGCTCTGTCATTCTGGGAGACTTAGAGTCTCTGAGGATAGATGGTTGAGGGATGGCTGGAAGCAGTGCATCCTGGGATGCTGGAGAACTGCTTCCAGTTTATATTGGCCCCATGGAGGAGACTAATGTTACTGTAACACAAGCTGCCTAACAAACTGGAGATAATCTTCGGCAGAGGAGGTGTAACTCTGAGATTCTCAGAGCCCACTTAGCTTATCTTTTCCTGCATTAACATATGGACATGCCCATCTTAAGAGCATTTAACATATTGGAAAGGTAATATGTAACAGTATGCCTTAGTCCCTGGGCTTGGACTCAAGGTCTGAAGAGCCCTGCTATAAATCACCAAGAGGCAGCAAGATCATCACTCCTCCACTTAGTTCAATCTGTGACCACCTGGATCCCAAACACATTCTGGCATCAAATAACTTAATGGGAAAAAAAGGAAGCTTCATAAACTACCTCTATAGCTGTTCGCCTAAAGCAGTCACAGATATTCAAGGCTTACATTATTTAATCTTATACATAAAGAGGGAAGAATGATCCTTTCTGGGTTCGAGGTCATTCGGGATGCAATATTAAATATAAGTAGCACATCCACCTTTAAACAGTAAATCAAGTGTCTTAGATAAGTTTCCTAGACCCAAAGAATTATAGGCAATAGTAATATGAAATGAACTGTGTTATTTAAGGTACTCACCTTATCTCCAGTACCAAAGAAGAATTGATTTTCCAACCTTCCACAGAATGATGAAAGATTGAAGAGCTGCCCTTTCGAATTATTTTATCAGAGCTATTGATCATCGATCTACTCAAACTCATATAACTGTCTCTGAAATGCAATACAGAAAAGACATAAGCCAGGCGCTGCATCACAAATATCAATGACATTTTCTTTACATACCTGAAAAAAGCAGCAAGAATCTCTCCCATTCCCACTCAGTATTTGTTCAATAAAATAGATTACATTTAAAAGGAGCATGGCACTTGATATTCATTTTCCTGCATCTAAGAAGAGATGGATCATAAATTTGGTGCTCCTGATCCTCCATGTCTGTTTTTTGAGCTACTGGAACATGAGGAACTCTCATACTGAATGGAATGTATGCGATAATGTGCCCACACTAACTTAAAACTTGATTTCTAGGAAACGCAGAGCCTGTAGAATTTTAGATGTACAGCTAAACCAACTCAATCAGTGATCTTATCTTATAAACAAGTGGGACATGGTCTTTACTCAAAAGAAATCCCTGAGCACTAAGTGTTGGCTGACGATTGCTGAATGCTTAAGGAAACAGACATAATAAGAATAATGACCATACAATCATAAAATTGTAATTGGAGAGTTAAAAATTGTAATAGAATATAAGGCAGGTTCACAGGTGGATCCAGGATTTTAAAAGCGGGGTGTGGGAGTAGTGACCACCTCTACAGGGGCAGCTGCACACCTCCACTTCTGGCCTCCCCATCTCACACCAGGGCAGGCAGACCATGCCATGAGAGCAGCAGCCAGGGACTTAGGTAAGAATCACATCCCCCTCCCAGCTTTCAACAGCCCCTCCCCACTTCCCCTGTATGCTCAGCAGTATCTAACACCTCCCCTTGTCCTGCTTACCTTGTGCACCTCCCCTTGTCCTGCACACCTCATTGTCTTGCTCACCTTCTCTAATTATGCCTCTGTCATAGGGAGATAAGTCCACTGCCACTGCTCTCCCTGCCACTTCGGCTGCAGGGAGCAACTGTGCACGGAGTCAGGCTTGACTGGGGCCAGCAGAAGCAGCAAGGGGGTCCCTCTGTCCCTGCATCCGCTCTCAGGCTGGTGGGAAAACACCCAAGGTAACGGGGCAGAGAGGAGCTGCCCACCAACTGTAACCACCACTGCCAGCTGAGCCCAGCTCCCCATGCAGCCTGGTTGGAGTGGGGCAGGAGCAGCTCTGGGAGTTCCCCCTACCCCTGAGGGTGCTACTGGGATCTGCCCTTCACAAATTATATTGAGTCTAAAGTCTGCATTTATGTAGAACTATAAAACCACACAGATACTACCTGAGCTATGCATAATAGCAAAATTTAGCTCTGTAAGTTCAACTAGAGTTCTTTGATTCATCAGTGAATCAAAATAACTGCCTATAATATATTCCCATGATCAAGTGCCTGCCATCTCCTTTAAGATCACTTAACAAACTACATACAGGAATCCTTTAGCCTACTGAGGATGCACAGCCATCACAGAAATAAGAATACTTAAATGCTCCATGGAGCTTCTCAACGCAAGTCAGGTCTCAAATTAAGGAGATTGAGCATGCCAGCTGTAAGATTGCAAACTCTTTGGGGCAAGTTCCCGTCTTTTCTTCTGGGTTTGCACAAGAGACTCTTTGATGAGTGCTCCTAGAACTGAGGTGATACAAGTAATAAAGAGCTATGTACATAGAACATTATGCAGTGGATTAAGCCAAAATGAAAAAAAGCACATCTTCCAATTTAAACTGCAGTGGGACTTTGATTAGGCCAAATGTAATTACCTAAACTGGAAATTGGCTAGCATTTGCACAGTGTTACAGTTTAAACATCCCATAAATGGTCAGATGATATTTTATAACCCATCCAAAAATCAATGCCTCCAGCAATGCAATACACCATTGCCTTCATGTTCTGATAACGAGTACTGACTCAGATGTTAGAATGCAATGACTTCCAGAAGTTGACAGCTTTCACACATTTTTGCAAATGATCCTAGTTATCCTAACTCAGAGAGTTGCACAAGTCTCTACTCTCTCATGTTTGATAATCAGAATCCATTTACAAACTATTTTATTTTGTATTGTATATGCAATAAAACTGCTCTAGAACAGTGGTAAATATTTACTGTATATTATCTGTCATGCAACAAGATACAGTACATACTTCTAAAAGAAAATTAACTAAATCTATCAAGCTAAGTACCTAATATAAAAACAAACTGGAAATGATTTTTGTTTATGCTGAGTTAAGAGTAATTCATTAGGTATTTTCACAGCATTCTAGGTTGGAGAATTTAGCAATTCATTATGTTGTTTGTACCTAAAACTGCTTTACCATGTGAAATTGGCTGTCTTGAGCCTTTACAATGTACTGTACCTCAATAGTGAATCGCATATATGGTGTGGTACTATAATGTTAAATCATGCTTTCAGGTACTGAAAGTAAGTCCTAAATGTTCTGCATTATAGCTCTTCTACAATTGCAAAAGAATGTTATAAATTGGTATGTGTTCTTCCTATTATGTATACTTTACTTCCAACTTAAAATGTTATTAAATACACTAACAAATAAGGAGCTAAATTTACATCAGGAGAGTCTGCCTTGTATCAATAGTTAGGTAAGGTGAGATAACCAATATAGACTACTGCCTAGCCCTCAGACCTGTGCAAAACTGCTGCACACCTAAAGGCCAATCTATGGCAGCGTTAACTTTGACAGTGAGTCCCCTTACTTTGGGGACATACTCAACTCTCAGTCCACACACACAGCATCCATTAACCTCAATGAACCAGTAATCTAGGGGAGAAAAGGATCATTAGTCAATTGGAGTTGTAACTTTCAGAGTTAATGCAATCCGTTAAATGTAAACATGTGCATTAGAACTTTAATAACCAAATTTTCTACTCAATAGAAGATAATGCAATTTATGAAACTTCACGCATCGTATGATAAAAGTTATGTATTTCATTACTCAATTAACCTTTAAAGTTCTGCTTTAAGGAGACATTATGGTCTACCAGATAAAACATCACAAGCTTATACAATTATTGACTTGTAAAATTTTGCCATTAAATTATATTGATCTAAGATATTACAGTGCTTTATAATACTACACACTTAGCCATAAGCCTTGTGCAGCTCCTGTACTATAACATATTCTAGAATGTTTGAGATTCACAAGGAAAGACACTAGCATATACTAGTGGGCCATCTCATGTCATCATCCCTCTATTGCCAGTGTTTTGGCAGCACATAGCAAGACTGACAATATCACACAATGAAAAACGGGCTTTGCTTTAACAAATATGTAATGTTATTTTCAAAGTTATTTTCAATTTTTGGCAAAAGAAGGGAAACTTCTGAGGGCAGAGTAGTGTGTTTTGTATCCCTGACTTTTACAGATAGAATTAACATCCAGATCTTGATACCTGTGCACATAGAGTAGAGCTTCACTCAAAGGAACTTCTTGTGCAATAAGGTGCTACTTATTTTGAACAGGGTGTTTCTGACTTCAGCCTGATGGACTTACACTAACAATTATTCCTTCCGTTTTGTTGAAAGAACACAAAATGATGGATAAATGCTCTTTTATTTTCTTTTGTTTAATTTTAAAGCATACTTTGGTTTCATATTTAAAACATAGAATAAAATGAGTTAAATTGTATAACATATATAACAGCTTGAGATTTGTCCATCAAACACATACTGTAAAAACAAGACTAATTCCTAAATGAAACATATAGGAGGAATCTTATCAGCTAATTTAGCCACAATTTGACTAAAACAATTAAACTAGCAATTTAGATTCTATTTCCACAAATCTCTCCCTATTTAGGGATCGCATACACAGGCATTTATAATATAGCTGTGTGAAACTGTTGCGTGTCTCCAAGACACAGTCCTACCTCTAGTGCTCTATATAGTAGCTGTGCTCAGAGACTTTGCCTCTAGTTTAGCTGAAGCTCCTGAATGCCTCATCAGCCTCTCTGCACCTGAGGCCAATAAAAGGTGTGCATAAGACAGAGATGGCTCTAGAGCAGGGTGGGCATGGAAGGGACATGTACAAGGCTGTGCTTCTCTATGGGATGGTCTGTGAGGGTGCACATGATGGATCCTCTGCTTCATACCCTGGAAGGAAACTGAAGCAGCAGACCACTTCACTTCCCAATTCTCCTCATCAAGGTGCTAACCCTGTGAACACTTCTGGCCTCTAATATGGTGAGGGTAGAGGCTGCTATATCTAGTTAGGGCACTGTATGTCTAATAACATCCTGCTAGTCAAAATTCCCCATCATAGCCTGCCTCTCCAAAAGCAGGTGCAACCTTGCCCAGCATTTCAGGTCCCTCTGCTCCTTTCAGATAGACTCCACTGATGCCCACCTCCTCCCAGAGTTGATCTGGTACCACAGTTCTCCTTGCAGGTTGTCATGTCTTTTCTGGTGAGCTTCCCCAGCTACTAGGCCATAAACTCATTTGTGGTCCACAGATTCCTGGCAGAAAACTTGGGACAGCAAACAGGAACACTGCATCATTGCCTGACCCTCCCCTAAGTTGATTCAGTCTTCAAGGCAGTGTTAGCCATGCCAGCAGTGGGCAGCCTGCAAACAAGCCCCTTTAAAGGAAACATGAGAGCAAGACTGATTTGAGTATCCTGCTGGCTGGGCTCAGACTCTGATCATACATGTCTGAAAAGGGCAGAAAGCAGTTCGTGGGACTCTGTGAGGTCTACGTGCAAATTACTGCTGTGTGCACTTGGTGGGGAAGGGGGTGAGGGAGTCTAGAAAGCAGCCTCCTCCCCAATATCACTTGGGTGGGTATTCAAATGCCTACCTGGGTCTGGACCCTTGAAGGGTAGTGAAGCACTGGAACAGGTTACTCAGAAAGGTGGTGAAATCTCCATCTTTGGAGGTTTTTAAGGCCCAGCTCAACAAAGCCCTGGCTGGGATGATCTAGCTGGGGATGGTCCTGCTTTGAGCAGGCGGTTGGACTAGATGACCTCCTGAGGTCCCTTCCAGCCCTCATTTTCTATGATTCTTTGATTCTAATACCCACATCTAGATGCCAAGGGCTCAAGGTGCCTGTGAGCTCCTATATACCCTATGCGCCCAGAGGCTATACTTGCAATAGGTGCACATGTGCACCCACAAAATCATGAATGGTGCATACCCCCGGCAGCTGAGGGGGCATGGCGGCAGTGGGAGTGTGGCAGCGAGCGGTGATAGAGCACAGGCGCTGCTGACAGTGTCGGCAGCACCTTTTTGTAGGGGGTACACTGACATGCTCAGGGGGTGCATGCACACCTGCATGCACCCCCTATGCATTGCCCATACACAAAATATAACAGAATGGCACCAAAACTGGCATTGTTCACATTGCACTTTTGGCCCTGGGGTTGAACCATAGCATTCTTTTAAAAAATAAAATAAAAAACTTTTGTCACCTGTGCCCAAAAAAGAAACTTAACTTATCTTCACATCACTTTCACCTTTGCTAGCTTCCTAGGACTTAAACCTATTTTTTCTTTTTGTGCACATATAACTGAGACATTTTACCTTTGCCCATCTCCCCCGTATACACCGTATGTCTAATAAACTGGGGGGGCAACTTGGGACAGCAAACAGGAGCATGGCATCATTGCCTGACCCTCCCCTAAGCTGATTCAGTATTCATGGCAGTGGCATGAAAAAAAAAAAGGGTGATGGACTTGACCATGTATCGAGGGAGTTTGAGGCTGATAAGTGGGGGGGGGAGTTATAGCTGAGTAATAAGGGTGGAAAAACAAGGATCATGATTGAGCCGATTAAGCACAAAGGCTGCCTTTCTTGCTAGTGGAGGAGAATGGGCTGAGGGGGAGAAAAATAAAATAAAATAAAATAAAATAAAAAAGCAGGTCAGGGAAGGACTCGCTGACTCCAGCCTGGTGGGAGCGGACCAGCCTGCCTTGCCCCACGGCTTTGTAATTAGCGGAGTTAATGGGGAAGGTGGAGCCCTGCAATCTACATCCTTGGAGGGGGGAGGGAGGAGTGCGCTGCTCTCACACCAGCTCCCTTCTTTTGTCTCCGCCGGCTGCAAGGCTCTGCCTCCGCGGTTGCCGGCTACGGAGGAGCTTTTCCTGTTGACTCGCAGCCGGGCGGCCCTGCACCGCGCGGGGAGAAAGCCGCAGCTGCCGCCGCCCGGCGGCTGCCTCTGGCCAGCGGTGCACAGCTGGCCGCGCGGCGCCACATATGCCGCGCAGCTGCTTGGAGAGGACCCTTGAGAGAAGCAGCGATGCCCCGGCGGCTTGGGGAGAGGAGGGGAGATGCCCTCGCCCCTCAGGGACCCTAGGAAGGGAGCGGGGGCAGACAGAGCTATGCCCAGGGAGGTGCCAGCTCCAGCCTCGGCGCCTGAACACATGGCAGCTTTGTGTGTCTTGGCTGGGAGCCTTGCAGGGAGCTGTCTCCTTGCTACAAGCCTCTGGCTCTGGGGTTTCTAGTCAGAGGGCAGACGGCAAGCCCCTTCTGGGCAAGGAGCCGCCCCCTGGCAAGTCTCCCAGCCGGGGGAGAAGCACAGTTAGGTGCCCATCAGCTCTGGCTGAGGGACCAGAGCCTTGGCCAAGCACCCAAGCGGCGAAGAGGACCCCCCCTCCTCCCCCCGCGTGACAGGACGCGCACGAGCCGCACGAGGCTTCGGAGCCGCTTCGATTTGCGCCTTCAGGGCCAGCCCGGGAGGAGCCGCGACCCGGCGGCGGCTCCGGAGGTGAAGGCTCCCCCCGAGGGGGCCCCCCCGAGCTCTCCTCGGGAAACTCCTGGCTTCCCGCGATCCCCGCAGCCGCCGAAGTTGCGGGGATCTCCCAGGCAAACTTCCCAGCAACAAAGGCAGAGCTGCCAGGCGGGCACCGCGCAAGCAGCCCGCCTCCCGCTCTCGGCGCCGCGCTGCACAAATCCCCCCCGGCTCCGCGCTCAAGTTGGGAGCACCGGGGAGCATCGCCTCCGGCGTGACCCCCTTCCCGGCGACACAGCACCCACCGTCACCTCCTTCTCCTCCTCCCCTTGCCTCTACATGCAAGAAAGCAAGAGGCTGTGGGACTGAACACCCCCTCCCCCCCCTCATCCATCCATGCATCCATCTATCCACGCGACTTCTGCCCTAAAAATCATCACAAGCCACAGCCCTTTCTTTCCCAACTCCCCAGGGAGAGACAATCCTGCAGTTAACACGAAACCACAAGGATGAAGTTGCAATAGAGGCTACAATAGGGCAAGGCAATGGAGGCAATGGAGGGGGGCAAGGAAAGGCAATGGGAAGAAAGGGGTGGGAGGGGAAGGGGTCATAAATTGACTAGTATCTGAGATACTTTTAGGGGAATAGGGGCGAGCAAGGAAGGGAGGAGAAGCGGGGAAAAACCCTATGCAAGAGCCTGAATCATTTCAATTGTCCGCCCCGCTTTGCCTTTGTCACATCGCTCCGGATTTTGCATTTACCCGGTGAGTTGTATTCCCCGGTGCTCCTCCGTTCTTCCTATTTCTTTTGTCTTATAAAAGATCAGGAGGATACTTATCGTGCAGACAGTCCACCTCTTCCTGAATGAACGCATGTCTTCTGCGAATCAAGCCCCCTCCCCCTTTTCCTTTTTTTCTTTTCTTCCTTCCTTTGTTTGTCAGGGGTGCGCAAAAACCCCCCAACAAAAACCGAAATCAAATTCGATCAACCCGAGCTCCACAAATGAAACAAAGCGGCAGGAGAGGCTGCTCTTAGGGGGGGCAGAGATGGCAGGCTGCGCTGGCTGCTGGTGCTGGGCTGAGGGTAGGAGCCCTCCTGGCACTGCCCGGTGCGCTCCCAAGCCTATGGGGCTTGCTGGCTCGCACGTTTCCTTCCAGTTTAGATACCAGCAGCAGCCAACGCCGGTCTCTGGGGCGTCGCTAGCACCACCCTTTCCCTGGCGGGGAAATGATGAGCAAAGCCCGGCCAATAGGTGGCTAGAGGAGGCGGGGACAGCTGCTCCCCAACTTTAAAACCCGCTTTCTCGGCTAGCTGAGGCTCTCCTGCTGCTGCAGGAGCTGGAGAGGAGAGATCAAGCTAGCTGGGGCTCTCCTGCAACTGGAGGAGGGATCAAGTTCGCCAGGGCTGTTAGGGAGGAGAGATCAAGCTAGCTGGGGCTCTCCTGCAGCTGAAGAGGAGAGATCAAGCTAGCCAGTGCTTTCCTGCTGCTTTGGGAGCTGGAAAGCAGAGAGCTCAAGCTAGCTGGGGCTCTCCTGCAGCTGCAGGAGCTGGAGAGGGGAGAGATCAGGTTAGTGGGGGCTCTCAGGAGCTGGGGAGGAGGGATCAAGCTAGCTCAGGTAAAGTGGCAGTAGTCACGTTGCCTGCCAACCTTTGCCTGGACCTGAAAGGGAAAGCAGCTTTGCGCCCAGCCTGCTTCTACTGGAGCAGTGGTAAGCTTGAAGCAGCCCAGGTTAGCAGCCCTGTGCTTTCTCTGCAAGGAGCTCCAGTTTCCTAAAGCTGCTTGGCCCTAGGGAAGGACTCTGCTCTTTCCGTACCTGCACAAGGGAGCCGTTGAGGACTGCAATATCATAATCATCATCATCATCATCACTATTGTCATCATCACCATCATAAGTGATATTAGGAAAAAAACTTTCTGGCCAGGAAGGTAGTAAAGCACTGGAACAGGTTACTCAGAGAGGTTGTGGAATCTCCATCCCTGAGGTATTTAAAACCTGGGTAGACAGAGCCTTGTTTGGGGAGGAGATATAGATATAGATCATTGCACCAGGACCTAGGGGAACAGATATGTACATCTCCTTGGAATAGCTCCATGTATTAGATGCTATACAGGGATATAGTTGGGGAGGGTCCTGCTTTGACCAGGGCATTGGACTTTCAACCTGTGGTCTGCAGTCTAAGGTGTCCATGAAAGATGACTCTGTTCTATCAAAGTATGTGAGTACCCACATTTACAATTCAAAGGGATCTGTACTTCCATTCAGAATTTTTTTAGGGGTCCACAAATGAAAAAAAAGGTTGAAAACCACTGAATTAGATCTCCTAAGGTCTCTTCCAACCCTAATTTTCTATGATTCTATTAACAGTTTCCTTTGTAAGCATGTGTTTTCATAGTTTCACAGTTGTTTTCATGCACACTTCCTCCCCAAACAGTCCGTCTGCCAGAGGGAGGGGGCTAGAATATTTTTTCCCTCTCCCTCTCTTTGAAACTTTGAGTGAAATCTCTTCAGGAACTTTGTAGTGATGTGTGAGGAAAATGGGGTTAGGAAAGAAATATTTTGGTAATAAGCCACAGATTGCTGAAGTTTGACATTTGGCTTGGGAAAGAAATAGTGTTTAACCAACAATCACTTCTGACCATGCTCAATCTTTATACATTTCAATGGGGTAATTTCCTACCACAGATGCATATTTTGTGCAATATCTTAAAGTTAATTAATTCTAAAAAAAATTCTTTTTACAACATAGTCACAGGAACCGCAGCGCACAATGTCCCCAAAGAAAAGCCAGCTTACATGAATGGTTTGTTCTCTATGGATGAAAAACTGCCTAGGGTAACATATTACCCCAGGCATGAATATGTTTTTCCATATGGGATAACAATTTACCCCTAGTCCATGTTAACACAATTTCTGTATAAATGACAGCCCTCTAGACCTATTTGACCACTTCGGGTGGATGCATCTGAAAGGTCAGCCTTCATTCACACCTCATTCATGTCCACTTCAGGTATCCATGGTAACTAATGGATGGCCATCCTCCACTCTGCTTTTGCAGAAGATGTGGTAATCCTTTTTGCTGACCACTTTGTTGGCAGGCTGCAAGGTCATCAAAACACCCTGCCCTTTTGCCAACCCCCCCCAAACCAAACCAAACCCTGTCACACCCAAATCCACTTCTGCTCTCTCTTCTCATGGCAAAACTCCACCTCACCTGCCCTTTTCATAACATACAAGCTAGTTTGCCCTGCCTTCATTGGAAGTGAGGACAAGGAGCAAAGGAACAGCAGAGAAGAAATAGAACAACATCATACTGCAATACAGAGTACACTATGGAGTCCCCTTTGATGGTAAGGGCTTGACACCCCCCATGGCCCTTTTACCTGGCCCTTTTACCTGCTCTCAACAAGCCCCTGCATGTGTGCTTTCCAAACAGCATCCACCCACATTTGGCTTGCCTGCAAAGGGTGGATGCAGGTCTCTGGCTTCTGTGTCCAGGAGGAGAGGGTGCTACCTGTGCTGCCATAGGACAGGGCAGAATTGCTTCTGTGGCAGCATAGGTGGACAGGCTTGTCTTTGATTGTTATTTATATGCATTCAGCAGTAATCACTTTTTTCTTTTTTTTTTCTGCAGTACAGGATGAGAAGGCAGTGCATATTCAGTGCTAAAGCCTGTCTTGCACAGGTAACTGGGAATGACAGAGACGCATCCACTTATGAAATCTTATCCCAAGGCAGTGAGGATGCTGACTTTGTTTCAGACATGGGAGATTATTCAATGCAAGAAGACCATGCGTCTATGGAAGCTTCATCCAGCTCAGATGAGGAGGAGTTGGTGCCACAAGCAGAAGTGATGTCAACACTTCCAGTGGGAAAGGGAAGAGGACCAGCCTGGGGCTGCTGTGGAAGACTGAGGATAGCTACAGCAGGACATGGAGCAGAACCATTGCTATCACCCCCAGAAAATGTTGTAGATGATGACACCAGGAAGGAATGGCAGTGTGTGGGGAAAAAAAGTCAACAGCTAATACAAAATTGGAAACAAGTCCATGAAAGTGCTGGGCCAACAAGAGAAAGTAATAAAGGCACAGTGGTGGAAACGTTCCACCTGTTTCTCTTGCAAGATATCCTGACTGTTATCATAAAAGAAACAAACAGAGAGGCAGAAAGAAGATTCAGGGAGTGGAAAGATAACGATCCTGAAAATAGAAAGAAGTGAAGTAGCTTAGAAAGAAGTGAACTCCCTTCAGGAGGGATGTGGACAGCATTGAGAGGGTCCAAAGGAGGGCCACTTGTATGATCTGGGAACAGCAGGGCAGACCCTACAGGGACAGGCTACGGGACCTTAACCTGTTCAGCCTTCACAAGAGAAGGCTGATAGGGGACCTGGTAGCCGTCTATAAACTTACTAGGGGGACCCAGCGGGGATTGGGAGAGACCTTGTTCCCCCGAGCGCCTCCCTGAGTAACTAGAAATAATGGCCATAAGTTGTTAGAGAATAGGTTTAGATTAGACTTAGAAGGCAGGGCGGCTAGGATCTGGAACCAACTTCCAAGGGAAGTAGAGCTGGCTCCTACCTTGGGGGTCTTTAAGAGAAGGCTTGACGTTTACCTAGCTGGAGTCATTTGAGCCCAGTTTTCTCTCCTGCCCAGGACAGGGGGTCGGACGAGATCTACAAGGTCCCTTCTGACCCTACATCTATGAATCCATGAAAAAGCTGGACAAAACAGAGCTGAATGCCTACATTGGCCTCCTACTGCTGAGAGGTCTATACCCTGGTGGTCACGAGGCACTGGAGGAGTTGTGGGAGTAACACACCAGGCGTCCTTGCTTCTGTGCCACCATGAATTTCAAACAATTCTGTCAAATCACCAACTACCTGAGATTTGACAACACACTGACATATGAGGAAAGGAGAACTGTGGAAAAACTTGCTGCCTTCAGAGATATTTGGACACAATTTGTGGAGCAGCTCAGGAAATGGTATTTCAGGAATACATCTGACGGTTGGTGAGCAGCTCATTGCATTCAGGGGTCGCTGCCCCTTCAGACAGTATATGTCCAGCAAACCTGCCAAATGCAGCTTGAAAATTCAGTGCTGCTATGATGCAGGAACATCATTCCTCCTGTCTGGACACATCTACCTGGGCAAGCAACCAGAAGCTTCATGCCAAGGTAATCTTGGTACCCACGTCATTGAAAAACTGGTTCATACCTGGTACAAGATGAGAGAGAATATTGTGGGTAACTATTTCTTTACAAGTACTGACCTGGCAGAAAGACTGCTACAACAGGACTTGACCTATGTGGGTACAATTTGAAAAAACAAGGCCGATATCCCAAACAAAATGCAAGCAAATCAAAGAAGGGAAACTTTTTCATCCATTTTTGTTTTTCATGTGGAACTCACCCTAGTTTCCTATGTTCCAAAGAAGTCCAAAGTTGTGCTGTTTCTGTCAAGCATGCACCATGACCTGTCAGTGGGTGGAGAGCAAAGAAAGCCAGACATCATCCATGACTACAATAAAAACAAGGGTGGGGTGGATAACCTTGACCACCTGGAGACAGAAAATCAACTGGTGGCCAAAGACTATTTTTCAATATGTTGGATGTGGTTGCCATTGTCAGCCTCATCATTTGGCTAGGCCCCAATGCAAACTGGAAGCAAAGATCACATTTAAGAAGATGGCGCTATTTTTTGCAGGAGCTTGGAGAACAGTTGATCAATGGACAAATAAAATGAAAAATGATGGATACACGTAATCTGTCTAAGTCTGTCAAGTCTAGTATGACTGCTCTAAATTACAAATTGCCATAATGCACCTCAGTAGAACCTCTGCAAGCACGAGTGGATGTTGTGCTTTTTGTCCAAGGACAGATGACCGCAAAACCTGGAAACAACGCAAAGATTGTGGGCAATTTGCTTGTGTGCACCACAGTACACCACTGCTGCTTTGTGAGGAATGCAATATTTAGTTAAAACAGTTAGGAAATGTTTTTGGAAGTAACTGTTAGTTTGAAAACAGTGAGAACTGCAGACTTAGCAAATTGTTCATTTGCGTTTTGAAACTCTAAAAAAAAAAGTTTAAATTTTCTTCATAGTTCTACTTAAATAACATTTTGGGTTAAAGTAATCATAAA